CCAGAGAATTCCCATCTAAAAACTTTTTAAACTACCAGTACACTATGTAGAATTATAACACTTTGAGCAGTGTTTCCACTTCTTACTGCTTTTATCTAATTTTTAAAGGAAGGAATACAGTAGTGAAAATGATTTTTCCCGTCCCCTTCTTTTTTAAAAAGAAAATTGAAGTGCAGTCAATTTACGATGTTGTATTAGTTTTAGGTGGACAGCAAAGTGATTCAGTTTTTCATATGTACATATATCCATTGTTTTCCAGATTCTTTTCCATTACAGGTTATTACAGGATATCGAATGTAGTTCCCTCTGCTATACAGTAATTCTTTGTTGTTTATTTTCTATATAGTATGTATATGTTAATCCCAAACTCCTAGTCTATCCCTTTTCGCCCTTCCCTATGGTAACCATAAGGTTGTCTTCTATGTCTGTGGGTTTACTTCTTTTTTTTATAAATAAGTTTATTTGTATAATTTTTTAACTTCCCTTGTTTTTAATGGTATTCTCCATTTGTGTGTTTCATTTTACTCCCCAGCAAAGGCCCATGCTCTCACACTTAATACAACCCAACCACATTTGTGTAACAACTGTTGGCGGTTCCCAGAAATTAAAATGATGCGCTGGAGATGAACTGAGATCAGATTTGGGTGTTGGTTGATCCCACTCCAGCTCACCTTCAGTCACTTTACATGTGGGTTGTGGGAGGAACCATTGTCTTCAAGTTTAGTCACGTTCTCACACCAAATGTTTAGCTGTCCCATTTCTGAGCATTACAAGTTCTTGTACGCGTATTAGAGAGGGAAGGGTTGATTTTGCATTCCGATTGGCAACTTCCTGATACTTGCCTTTGCAGAAGTGGGATGTCCCTGCTTAGATGACTTTATTAACAGATCTTTTGACCTCTGTTTCTGTGGGTACACGTTTCCCAGGCAAGACTGCTCCGTGTTTTAAGTCCACAGATCTCATTCTTCGGGAAGTATGAGATGAAGACTGTGCATTTTGTCCTGAAACATGGTCAAGGTGTAGTATGCCGGGAGAAAAGACCTTGGAGGCAAAGTGGTGTGTTTCTGTGATTGGAGGAGTCCTGTGATGTATGGTGTCCCATGCCCTCAGAATTGACATTTCTTAATTGCCTACACCCCCCTGTGGCCACCCCACTTCCTGTGGTTCATGGTTTATGTATGTATGTATGTATGTATGTATGTGAAAGTTGCTCAGTCGTGTCCGAATCTGCTACCCCATGGACTATAGCCCGCCAAGCTCCTCTATCTGTTGGTTTTTCCAGGGAAGAATACTAGAGTGGGTTGTCATTTCCTTTCCTCCCAAGGGGATCTTCCCAGGGATCAAACCCAGGTCTCCTGCATTGCAAGCAAACTCTATACCATCTAAGCCACCAGGGAAACCCGGTTCATGGTTTAAGAATCCCCAGAAATCATGAAAGCTGTAGGCATTTTCCAGTGAGTTTGCTCCATTATTTTTATCAGACTCCCAGTGTTTCAGAGCCATTGTCTTTTTACTGCTTGTTCCTGTCCGCTAGTCTGTCCAGTCCTGACCTTCTATGAGCCATGAGCCAGACTCCTCACATGGCATGTGCACAAGATCCGGCTGTAAAGGAGCTAGCCTGATTTAGCTTCCTGACCTCTTTCTCCCCACTGTGCTTAGGCGATGTAAAAAAATATTTTACATCTACTCACTGTAGAAAAACATTTCTGGCGACTACAACAGGTGGTTTCCTGGGGCAATATGTGAGGTGTGTCCACTCCTTCAAGGTCAGTCCCCTGCCATAGTTAACCATTAGGCGGTGGGACTTGCCCTATGTCACAGGATAGCATGAGGCTTGGAGAGGGTTCTCAAGCCCTGAATTTCTTAACCAGTTATGCTTTTCTTAGACTGTCATTCATTCTTTCACGTGTTTATTCACTTCTTAATCTATTCATTGAATCTTCAGTAACTTGTACAATTTAATTTAGAGGTGGAGACATTAACCATTAATTATGGTTAGCCAGGAGAGAATTCTGAGGAACTCATCTGTTTTAATGTTTAAAGTATTCAGCAGCCAGTGGAGCGCATATTAGCCAGTCAGAAGGGGCTGGGCTGTCAGAGGCCCCGTTTGGCCTTCACCATTCATACTAGCTTAATACCAGCCCTGCCTGTAATTTTATTGACTCATTCTTTTTTTTTTTTTGGCTTACAATGTTGTGTTCATTTCCACTATATATCAACGTAAATCAGCCATAGGTTCATTTTTATTAGTAGATACTTAATAGAGTTTTTAGATGTGTCTGCTAAAATAGCTGTATCTCGTAGATGTGATGACATGAATTTTCTCAATCTCTGTAATCCTGGATGCAAGTCTTGACCTGTTTTATAGCCGAATGTCAGTGAGTTAATTTCCTCCTGCCTCTAACCCTAAACTGCCTCTTCTGTAAAATGGGGACAACATCGCTGTCAAGAGTTTTGATCAGATGATTCATCCGTGGTTTCTGGCACTTCTCAGTGCTCATGTGGTGGTGGTTGGTGTTCTAGAAACCAAACAGGGGTGACCACAAGGCACGACTTCAAGGAAAAAATGCCGCCCAAGCTCTGCTGTGTACCACAGGCACGCTGATGAGTCTGTGCAGGGTTTGTCTGTGAGAACAGTGGCCGAGACAGAATTGGTCCTCAGCCGCCTCCTGGGAGCGCTCAGACTGTCACTCACCTGGGTCACTTGTGTAAGTTGGTCCTTCATCCTCTCTGCACCCAGCATTCTCGGGCCGTCCTTCTAACAACCATGAGAGAGACTTCCTTCCCACAAAAGAGAAGTCGGGCCTCTTTCTGACTGAAGGGAATTTTTCAGCGGAGGCCCCCTAACCCTGGGCTTGCCCTCCACTCCTGTTCACACTCAGCTCTCTCCTATCTCGGCACTCCTGAGGGCGTGCCCTTTCCATCAAAGAGGCAAATATTTGCCCTGCTTTTGCCCTTTCTCACCCTTCAGTCCGCACACTTGTCATTCGTCCCACCTGGACAAACTCCACTCGCCATCAGTCCAACCTCTTCCCAAGCGCTCAGGCTGTTTCCTCCGTGAAGAGATGTTAGCCTAAGCCTGCAGTTCACCTGCTCTGGTGTCGCCCGCCGCAGCTGTGACTGCGTCATCGCCGCCTGTCATCGCTTGCTCCTGCTGTCCCACGTCCCTGTGACTGCTGAGTCCCCTCCTGTGTGTCCCCCGAGCCTGCACAGCGTCAGATGACAGAGTGCCCCCACAGACACCGAACAAAAAGGCTGGGTCAAGTTTTTCAATCCAAATAGCAAACTCTTGTTTACAGATTCTGCCTACATTAAAAACTTGTGTTTTTCCAATGAAGAAGTCATAAAATTTAAACTATGTCTTTAACTTTTTTTTTTGGGTGGGGATGTGTATATTCCTGGGTTTGGCATTGCTACTTTGAAAAGTTTAAAAATGACTCGGTGGGCCACAAAACGGGTAAGAATGTGTGGGAAAATTGCCCATCTGATGTTAATGGTCCTAAAGCAGAACTGATGGAGAGCCCAGTGTGGCCTGGGAAAGTGTAGGAAGGGCCGCTTGGAGGAAATGCAGACCCTCTAGCTCCCCCAGCACTCCTGAATCTGCATTTTTACCAAGCGGGCTGTCCTGCAGCACCTGGCGGACTTTGCCAGGTGACATGGTGTTTCACTTTGGTGGTTGGGCACCTGTTAACTCACCCGGCGTTGTGACTTAATTCTTCCACCAGCATGAGCCCATTTAATTCTGATACTCTTCTAAAGCAGGCATTCATAGAAGCTCAGAAAAGTTGTTACTGGGGCCTACAGAGGTATCATGAAAAGACAGTTTCTGGGTCTGTATTTCCTAAGGGTGAGATAGGAAAGTTGAGGCCCCAGTCTGTGAAGGTCTGGCCTGGCCAAGCGCAGTAGCCTCCAGCTCCTGGTGTGGGCACACCTGCGCTTCCGGTGAGCCAGGCACCTTGAGGAGGACAGCGGAGCAGGCTGATCCCGGCAGTGGAAACCCGGCCCCGGCTCATTCACCGTCCAGCTGTGGCTGGTGTGAAGGGCCTCGGGAGAAAGTCACCTGTGACCCAGGTCAGGAAGCACAGATGAGGTAGCCCTCATCTTACCTACAGGCTGGCTTCCTGGAGTCCTTATTACAAAAGAAATTCAGGGGCATAGAGAAACTCACTTCTCTCAAGCTACTATCACAGAATAAGCTCTGCGTGTGTGCGCGCATGCATACCTCTGTGCATTGTGTGTGAGTGCGCAAGTGCATATATGTGTGTGCATGCATCCCTCTGTGTATTACTTCAATTTCTTTGACTGTAATCATTAAAAAGACCAAAAATTAGTTCTCATCCTCCAATCCTGCAGCCTTTAGGATATCCTGTTTGGGTGGATTCTGAGAAGGGAAATAGAAGTAATGATAAGAAGTGAATTAGTCACGAAGTAATATTTCTGTTTTCTGCCTCCATCCCTCTGGTCTTCTTGGATGCTATAGCATGAGCTGTGTGTTTGTCACATCTGGTATACCTCTGAAAGTAACAGCTTATCACCCCAGTAGTAAATGCTCAGCTTGAAATTGAAAGAACCCAAATTTCCCAAAATGTGAGGTGCTTTTTGCACCATCCTGGAGGCTAAAAAATTGAGGACGGGTTGTAATTACTTTAAAAAAAAAACCATAGTATCACTTAGCAAAATTAATTCTGATAGCATAGTTAGTGTAACAATTAGGATTATTAGTTTATGTATTTTGTAATTTACCAAGCTAGCACTTGATTCCTTAAATAGTATGAAGAGAAAAGGGGGAAATACTCTGCAATCCTTCAGCTCTTCCTGATATTCTCTTTTGGTAATATCGTATTTTTTTTCTTCATCACGGACACTTCCTTATTTCATGTGAATCCCTAATCGATTAAATACATATGCATTTAAAATGCTATTTTGATTTGTCCATGAATTGTTTCTCTTAAAGGGCTATCCTGGGGAAATAAGTAATTTCTTGTGTCCTGTTCTTGCAGGAAGAATTTTAAATCGTTTCTCCAAAGACATTGGGCATATGGATGACTTGCTGCCCCTGACATTTCTTGATTTCATCCAGGTAATGTTTAACAGTCCTGTTAGAGTTCTCCCAGGAAAGAGCAGGGTACCTTTTTCTCAAGGCGTTTTTTCAGAGGCTGAGGGTGGGTATTTTAGCTTGGTGATGTGTCCTGTTATCTTAAATAAATGCCATGTTTGTGAGAGAAAGGTGGGGCTGTGACTGGGAGACTAAGTCAGTTAACATGAGTAACACCTGGGGCAGGAGTGGCTGGCTACACAGTCACGTCAAGGTTGGTCTGAAGCAGCGACATGCAGGGTAAGTGGTTCTTCCTCTGCCTTCCAGGTGTCTGGCGTGGATTCCCTTTACTGTGTGTGCATTTCATAATATAGAAATAATCATCTCTCATGGAAAGATAGCCTAGATTAACTAAATTATGCATTGTATTACCACAAAGGACAAATATTTACTGCACTTTTTTTTTCTTTGTATAAAGCCAGGTGTGGTTACTTACAAAGAAAAGATTAGTAATAATAAGGTGAAAATAATACTTTAACAAGGACAATAGAGAGCAGTTATGGAAGATACAAAGCCTTTAAAAGCAAGTACCTTTAAGCCAATAATTTGAGTATGGGATCAAAGTCATCTCAGAAAATGTCTTTTTTTGTTTGTCTAGGCAGCTTTTCTTTTAACATGTTGATTGCTGTATCTTAAGGTGTCTTTTTTAAAAAAAAAAAAAGAATCCTATAATCCCACTGAAATACCGTTTCTCCAGCCTTTGTTTTGTCTGTCAGCTTGGAGGTTCTAAAGAATGGTGTTAGGTCATCTCAGTTCTCATCTGCTTGTTCAGTATGGTTGCTCATTGGGATTTTTCCCTGTTGTTTTTTCCCTGTCTACTTTTCACTTATTCAGGCTACAGGGACCTTGTCAAGTGTTTATTTTGGATTTATCAAATATATAGCATTTATCCAAAGTTGTATATTTTCTAAAATCCCAGCTGCTGCTTCTGCTGCTAATAATAATTCCTGGGTTTAAACCCTTTTCACTTTCTCTATGTGCCAGGTAACATGATCCCATTTTAAGGCCAGGAAGGAGAGAAATGTTGTGGTGAGGATGTGCAATTATGGCTTGGTGCTGATGCTCCCAACTCCCCAGTTTTATTTCTTTGTTCAAATGCTCTCTAAGTCAAAACGTAGACTCTTTTCAGGAGCCATTGCTATAAAAGGAGTCCAAAGTACTTAATTTGGAAAGTTAGCTATGTCAGAAAAATCAGTACTTGGTCTGAAATTATTCTTGGCATTCCTGTAAGTCACAAACAATGTGTCAGTGAATATCTGGCTGTAAAGGTGTAGCCTTTGGGAGAAAGCGTCCACTGTCAACCAATGTGAAGTAGTCTGTGATTTAGAAGCAAAGTAGTTTTTACTGCAAAGATGCCTGATTCTGCTCCCCACCCCACCACCACTGCTTTTGCAAACTTAAACCGGGCTAAATAATTTATCCTCAGAAGCAATTTTTTACCAAAAGAGTCCCGTGTTATGAGGGTGATGGTTAATTACTTTGAGAAGATTTTTAGGAAGGTTGTGCGTCTTTGCTCCTGCTAGCCAGGCCAAGGTTGGGTTTCCAGAGCCGATTGGCCCACTATGTGCTTCACACATGGTTAGTTTTAGTCCTCCTAATGATAATTCACCACATATATTTGTATGACTTAACAGAGGAACAGGGATAGATGCTACCTGCTTTCAGTGTCCAACATTCTCAGTAGTGTGAGGAGAGAATTCTAGTCTCACCGTTCTTTGTTTTAACTTGAGAGAAAAGGGTCTCACTTAATCTTGATGGAACACACCATTGTTAAATACCAGTAGTCCCAATTAGCTGATTTCTTGAATCTAACAGCAATGGTAAATCTCTGTATTATTGTCTGCAAGAAAGGAGTTTTTGTATAAAAGATGACTCAGTTATCAATTATGATAAAGATCTGTTGTCACTTGTTTTGTTTGCAGGTGTCTTTAATAAGGCTGCCATAATCCCTTCAGGAAGAAATATTTTCTCCTTTTAAAAATAGTATTAGCTAAATATAAAAGCCCTGATCCCTGCCATTGTTGCTGATTCTTTGAGGGACATTTCCCAACATTCATTGTTTAAATGGTTGTCAGGAGGAATCAAGTGAAACTTAATAAACAATGCGGTAACTGGTTCATCGTACTTTGTGTGCCGAAGCCTTTCTCCGGAGGATTTGCATTCGATGAGTGGGCTTTTGACGAGGTATCACTGAGATCATTTTGAAGTATTTGGGCCTTGTTGCTGTCTTAGCAAGAGAAGATTTTTATTAAAGCCAGAAAAATGAAGTTAACCTGACTCAACGAAAGGCCAACAAAAATAAAAATGTAAATTGATTTTTTTTTTTAAGTTGAGTAGGACTCTGTAATGATGAAAAGAACTCCATGGTGTGATCTGGGACTCTTAATGGAATCATGTAAACTTAAAATAAACACTATTATGGTAAGCACATAGAATGAAAACTAATTTTCCAAATCAAATACATTATATTCAATTCATTTTCCCCAATCAACCAAATGTTTAAAACCTGTTAGTTATAACAGCAATCTTCTGGAAATTAATTAGAAGCCTATTAGCTCTGCTAGCTGAGCCGAATGAAGAGGGTTGCTTGTTACATTTCTAAATAGGCTCCTGAATTAAAGCAAAGGAAGGTCAAAATGACAATCAGTTTGACTCACCTTATGACTTTTCTTAAGAAGTTGATGTATTTTTTTTTTAAGGAATTGTTTAATTTTTTGAATGGACATTTTATCCACTTTGACTTATCCTCAGTATTATCTCAGTGACCAGTAACATCCTCTCAAGTGCATGGGAATCTGAATTGGAAGGTCTCTTGTCTGGCCCATCAGCTTGTCTAAAGAGTTTTGTCATCCCCTTTCTTAACTGAGATTGAAAATTTCCTGTCTGCCTTTGATTTTAATGTCCTTAGCAAAACCTGCTGCCGACCTCAGGAGAAGCTGGGTTTTAATACCTCTCATCAGATTCTTAGGGTGAGGATCTTAGTGAATAGCAGCTGCTCCTGTGCTCAGAGAAGCTCACACCACGCCAGTCCTCTTAAACCCATCAGCTGAGTTTAGAAAGGGTTGGGAATTTCCATATCAAGACGTTAAGCTTGGTTTTATCTTGTGGTCCTTCCTGATCTACATGTCATCTCTGATGCTTGAGCCAGAAAGAACTTGGCAGGATGTATAGCAAGAAATAGAATGCAAATCAAAATTCAAAGCTAAGGTATCTTTCCACTTTTGAAATATTCAAACCAACACTGACATGTTTAACATTTGTTTCTTACTGATAAGCATGTGATAATACCTTACAGGAGAATTAAAATCAAATAGATATATAAATAATGTAATTACACTTAACCATGGGAACTTTTTAATCCAGAGCATGTGTGTTTCATCACTTTTCCTGTAAGACAGTGACAGTTTTGTTGGTCTTGTAAGTAAGAGTTCAGAAAATGGACCATTGGGTTGTAGTATAATTGGGTCTGCTGCTGGTGAATTGGGGAAAGGAAACTGAGAACAGAATCCTCATCATGGGTTAGGAAAGGTAATTCTCCAGTGAGGAAGTCAGAAGTCAGATTTTATCACTCATTTCACTAACAAAGTGGCTAAGATGAGAAAATGCTAAAGTGTGAACCAGTTTGCTGGGCAGATAGAAACTATTTTCTTAACTTTGTCCCTTGGACTTCAACACATCATTTGAATTTGTATGAATTGATGGGTTTTGGTTTATTTTTTGCTTCATTTTTAGTTTTAGTGAGTGATCCATATCCATGCTGATGAGTGACACAGCTCATTTTAAAACGAGTGTGCTTCACAACTGTCTGGCATTCCCATGAGAATTCCAGAGGAACCGTGGGGTAATGTGTGGGATTTGGGAACCTGAGTTGACACAGGTATGGAACAAGAGTGAATGAACAGAAACCAATTTTTGGCAGCCAAGGCCTTCTGGAAGGGAAGGCCAGAAGTGAGGGAAGTTTTTGGATGTATCATAGGAAATAAATAATTTATACAAAATGACAGCAGTCTGTAGGTTACCTCAGGGTTGCCGTGGGCTTATCAGATAAGTTAGCCAATGGCTGGCAGCACGAATCTGGTTTATCAAGGTGTTGTTGAAACTCGTTTGTTTGTTTGCTTTTTCAAAAATCATAACAGCTTTGAGTACTAACAATATTTTTAAAAACCAAGTCATTTATCAAGCCAGAACTTGGTGTTCTTCCCTCATTGAAACTAAATATCTCACATGTGAGAGAATTCAACATGGGAGGAATTCTTGGAAGAAGGGTTTGACTTTCAAAATATACTGAATTTGAATAAATACAAACAAACAAAATACTGGTTGAAAGACCTGGTTTGTTTTATTTGTTTCTTGTGTCTTTGCCTCTTGAACACTGTGTTGAATAGATTAACCTGCCCACAATTCTCTAAGACCAGCAGACACCTTTGTTTTTTTCCTTCAAATATCCGAATGTTTGCTTATTTAGGAATCAAATTTATTTTCAGTGAAATACAGTCTAATATATCATAGGAGGGTGTTAGAATTTCATAGATGACAGTACTTATCTGAACTGAACTTATCTGAACTTGTTGTGAATTCCAAGTGCAAGAGTTGTTTGGCAAGTTGGATACTCTGGGTGGTCTTAATAAAGGCTTTGCTTGAATAGAAAATATGTTAATGAGACAGCAGATGCATGGGAGTGAGGGATGAATTTGAGAAATAAAGGAAAATTCTGTGCTGAGAGTTTGACAATTGTTGTAGACGTTCTCAATGACGCATTACAGATGGGATTTATACAGAGAAACTCTGACTTGATATCCATACATGTTGATAAATTACACCAAAACATTAAGATTCTGAATTACTTTAGTGTTGGCCAGCTATTTATATTGAAGTAGTTAAGGAAGCATCTTCTGAAACCCCACTTGGGGAGTTGGGGATGGCTTCCAGAACCTCATTTAGGGATGGAGGAGGCACAAACGGCAGGGAGCCCAGGAGGGTGTAGG